ACCGGTAAATACTTCTGCTACGAAAAAGGGTTGTGATAAGAAACGCTCAATTTTTCGCGCTCTTGCTACGAGTAAACGATCCTCTTCGGATAATTCGTCCAATCCAAGGATAGCTATAATGTCCTGAAGTTCTTTGTAACGTTGTAAAGTTTGCTTAACTCTTTGGGCGGTTTCGTAATGTTCCTCACCAACGATTCATTCCAGCAATTTTTGTCAATGCTGATTCGCCCCAATATTTGATGTCCAACCCCCTTAGTTGAATCCACACAGGGATCTTATCTACTTTTTCTTTGCTCACATCAATGTCTGGTTCCCATGCTTTTACAACCACTACTTTTTATCAAATATCTGGACTCCTTCTTCGATAGCTTTAATTTTGTTTTTTCCTGAATGGAATCTAACCAGAAAAACCCCTCTATTCACTTGAGTAACCTTGTCAATGCCCATCGATCCCCAAATTCTTCTGAAATATCCATCAATCACCGGTAATGGCGGGTTCGATCCCAACACATAGCATATGACAGCAGATTTCCAGTATACTATTTCATCTTCAATATCTTCCATTGTGATTTTGACATTTTCTTTGTTTGCCACATCGCCAGTCAGATCCAATCCCTCACCAGCCGGAATAGGACCTACTACCTTACTCCATGATTGAGCAATGGACTTCTGTGAGGACCTAGGGTTTAGGTTAGTACCGAATTCCCCTGCATTTTCTTCTTCCTCTATATCTGCCCAAGACATTTTCCTCTGAAAAATTGTTGTTGGAGTTAAATCAACTATTCCTGGGGAGCTCCTCGCCGGAGTCATCGTCGTTGCTGTTGATGAGGACGCCTGGCTTAACCCTAAGCAATTCCTTGTATGACATTGATACTCCGAGTTCTCTTAGCATCTACTGATTGCGGAAAAATTCTTTTGCTTGGATAATTGTTGGGATTACTCCCCTGAACTGGTTGTCCTCTCCCTCCGTTTTTCGTTTTCCTTGTCATTCAATCAAAACTGAGAGAAAAAGTCATGTTAGAGAGAGAAATTGATGGCATCCTTTCGATTGATGAGTCTTGAGGGTAGAACTCGTGTTAGTCGCTAAGGAACATTTTAGAAGGTTCAAACTATATTTTAAAGAGAGGAATGTGGTCTAGAGTGAGAAAAGAAATTTCTAAGTCATTTGTGCATCAATCTTTTCTCAAGCCTTGAAGACTTCACAAAGGTAACTCCCAAGGTCTTCAACCAAAAGGTAAGGTTATAGCCCTAGCCTTCAATTTCGAGATTTAACTCAAAATAGGTAATAAGTCAAGCAATTCTTGGGTGTGGGAGTTGTTATATGCATGCATGTACTATCAAGGGTTGTGGGAAGATTGTTGAGATCAATTGGGTAGACTTTGGGTAGTGAAATGAAGGAATCCACCATGGAGGACCTTGAAATCATAATGGCCACCTAGTGTTCGATAAAATGCTCAAATGAGCTGGAGCCATGAACTCCTTCCTAATTTTGGTTCAATTTTGTTATATTTCTAAATAGATCAAAGTTGCTAGGATTCTGAAACTTTGTAGTGGATTAAGGAAAGCTCAAAGCGAGATATGTTGGCTAAACCTCTCTCTTAGAATTAAATCTCATGACGTTCACGTAAGTTCCGAGTTGTTCATTATATACTTGCTATTCTAAATAAGTTTGGTGTCGAAAGGTGTATATATATATATATATATATATATATATATATATATATATATATATGTGTGTGTGTGTGTATGTGTGTGTGTTCAAAATGTGTTCGAATATTATTATAATATCATGTTGTTCTTTGGGGGCGTGTTCAAATCATGAGTCATGTATTGAAATATTGTGACTTCAAGTCAAGTTCAAATGAAAGACGTTGCATCAAATTGTATAAGAAATCTCCATGTGCTTATCACCCTTATGTCCACTTGTATTTTAAAATTCTAAAGTTGAAAAGTCTTGTTACTGGATTACCCGTGATGTTATTTGAAAGTGAAAGAATAGAGCATGAAATATGATGTGCGGCCAACGTGCCAAGAATGATATTGCGTTATGTCATTGGTGCCGATGAAATGAATGATATGTAAAAGACTATGAAATGAGTAGTATATACCTTTAAATAATAAATGCTTTGGGAGTATCATTTATCACCGAGTAAGGGTAGGTCAAAATAACCTAACCCTGAAACTACACATGCCGATGTAGGAGGGATTAAGGGTAATATCCCCGTGTTAATGCGATGAGGTTGTTTCCCCTTATATGGGATGATATTGATGTGTTGAGATGTTTTCCCTTGAATAGGATGAGATTATTTCTAGAAAGATGTGATGTGATGTCGATCCACACGGCATTGTGGTGAGATGGCTTAGCCGGTCAGGCTGAGATCGGATGCCATGCCGCACACATGGTGGTATTGTGGGTGGATATCTCGGGGTGACACGGCTTAGCCAATCGGGTTGAGATCGGACTCCGCGCTAAAAACACGGTGGTGTATCGGTACTAGGGATCTCCCAACTTAAAAGATTGAAACTTAATTGAAATTTACCTTGCCCCTAACTTGACACCTTGATACTATTTGAGTCTCTTATCGATTTCATGTTTCCTTCTCCGTTTACTGTTACTCATTCTATTGAGAGGATGTTTATTCATACATACTAGTACTATTCCATATGTACTAACGTCCCTTTTGCTGGGGGCGCTACATCTTTAATAGATGCAAGTGGTGTTGATCCGTGATAGCAGCATACCCTCTCCTCAACTGACTTGGTGAGCCCCACTTCATTCCGGGGTCCTGTATCTCTTGTCCTTGTGCATAGCATTTTGAGGTATAGCCGGGGCCTTATTGCTGGCACTGTCGTAGCACTCTTTTATTTATGTTGGAGGCCTTGTGGACATAGTGTGGGTTGTATTTAGTATTGGGAAGGTTAACTGAAAGTGTTGTAATTGTATCATATGTACCACTTCAACTATGAATGTATAGTGTGCTATTTTGGAGACTTGTTAATGACGTAACTAATGGAAATGAACTGGTGCTATTCACATGACCTATTACCTTCTAGTTAATGAATATGTATCTTTCTCTTTATTCATGAGTGAGTGAGGAAGACGGCATTGTGTAGGCTTGCTCGATCGGGGTATCTCGGTTGAGCACCGGTCGCGCTCCCCGAGGTCGGGGCGTGACAAGCTTGGTATTAAAGCCAGGGGTTTTAAAGTGTTCTAGGATGTCTCGGAGCCGTGTCTAGTAAATTCCTTCTTAGCGGTGTTTTTTCGACCACATCTATAATTAGGAGGCTACTTGGGCATTTAGGAATAATACCCTTCCTTGATGTTCTTGATCGTGCGATAAAGCTGATTGTAAGATTGTTCCTCCTCTAACTCATGCATTGCTCTAACTTTCAGTACATGGCGCCTAGGAAGGAAGCAAGAACTAGACAAGGAGCCAATGCTGCCCCAGGAGTGGCATTTGATTCTTTACCTAATGATGCGGGTGAGCACCCGAGGGGTGAGAATATTCCCTCGACTACTACACTGCCTGATTTTACTACACCTGACCAGATGACACCAGTTCCTGCACCTACTGAGGGTGCAACAACTCCACCCCAGACTGATATTCCAGTTCCACCTCCAGCCCCAGATTCCGATCCTGGTGTGTCTGATGGGGATCTTAGGGGAGCTATACAGATGTTGGCTTAGATAGTGGCTTCCCATGCCCAGAGATCGAATGTTGCACCCGCATCTTCTAGTCAGCCAGAGGATTCCACTAGTTCCAGGATGAACAGGTTTCTCAAATTGGATTCTTCAGTGTTCACAAGTATTGATCTTGAGGAAGACCCTCAGGATTTTATTGATGAGATGCACAAGACCCTCTGAGTTATGAGTGCTACTGAGACGGAAGGAGTGGAGTTGGCCTCTTACCGCCTGAAAAGGGTGGCCTATTCTTGGTTTGAGATGTGGGAGGATTCCTGTGAGGAGGGGAGCCCTCCGGCGAGGTGGAGTGAGTTTGCTGATGCTTTTATTGATCATTTCTTGCCTGTCGAGACTAAGGCAGCTCGTGCCGCCAAGTTTAAGATCCTGAAACAAGGTAGCATGAGTGAGTGGGAGTATCATATGAGGTTTGCGCACCTGTCCAAGTATGCCATCTACATGATGCCCACTATGGAGGCTAGAGTGCGCCGGTTTATGCAAGCCCTTAGCCCCTTGGTTATTAATGAGGCCACGAAAATTGCTTTGTATTCTGATATGAACTATGGTAAGATGGTGGCATTTTTTGTGGCCATAGAGATCCGCAAGCTGAAGAATAAAATGGAGCGAGAGGGTAGCAACAGGGCCCGGTCAACGGGTAACTTTAATGGTACTTCTAGTGGTGGTGGTGGCAGGTCAGCGTTTAGGGGAGGGTTATCAGGGCCATCTCAGTCCTTTGCTCAGTCATCGGTTAGTGCACATCCATCGGGGCCCAGTCAGTAGCAGTGGAGTTGTTTTAGGCCCAGCCAAGTTAACAAGGGATCCTACCAGCAGGGTCCGCCTGGTGGAGATTTCAGCAGCAGCTGAGGCCCCTATGCCCTAGGTGTGGGAAAATGCACTTTGGGGCCTGCTTCATGGAATAGCCCATATGCTACGGGTGTTGTATCAGGGGTCACATTCAGAGCGATTATCGTTCGTCCCATCAGAGCATGGGCAGAGATACAGCACGGCCAGCCAGTTCTGCAGCCACTACATCCGCAGCACCTCCTCCAACTCGAGGCACTCCCGCACCCGCAGGGCGTGGTGCAGCTAGGGGTGGTACACAGAGTTTGGGAGGACCCATCCATTTTTATGCAATGAAGGGTTGCCAGAGTTCAGAGGCTTCTCCAAATGTTGCCACAGGTATATTGACTGTCCAATCTCATGATATGTATGCTCTTATTGATCCCGGATCCACTTTATCCTATGCCACTCCCTATGTTGATATGGAATTTGGGATAGCACTGGAACAGCTCCATGAGTCATTCTCTTAGGTGAGTCCATTATGGCTGCGTGGGTTTATCGGGATTGTGTTGTCACATTGTATGGTCGGGACACCATGGCCGATCTCATTGAATTGCGGATGGTGGATTTTGATGTAATAATGGGGATGGACTAGCTTTATTCATGTTTTGCCAAGCTAGATTGCGGAACTACGACTGTTAGGTTTGAATTTCCAGATGAGTCAGTGATTGAATGGAAGGGGGGAAATGTTGTGCCGAAGGATAGGTTTATTTCTTACCTTAAGGCCACAAAGATGATTAACAAGGGGTGTATTTACCATTTGGTTCGGGTTACGGACACCGATGTTGAGGCACCTATACTTGAGTCCGTGCCAGTTGTGAATGAATTCCCTAAGGTCTTCCTGATGAGCTCCCTGGGATTCCACCAAACAGGGAGATTGATTTTGGGATTGATGTGATGTCAGGCACGCAACCTATATCTATTCCACCATACAAAATGGCACCAGCAGAATTGAAAGAACTAAAGGAGCAGTTGAAGGACTTGTTAGAAAAGGGCTTAATCCGGCCGAGTGTGTCGCTTTGGGGGCGCACCGCTTCTCTTTGTAAGAAACAAGATGGGTCACTAAGAATGTGTATTTACTATTGGCAGCTCAACAAGGTCACAATCAAGAATAAGTACCCGCTGCCAAGGATAGATGACGTGTTTGATTAATTGCAGGGTGTAAGTATTTCTCCAAAATTGATTTGAAATTCGGGTATCATCAATTGAAGATCAGGGAGCAGGATATTCCGAAAACAGCTTTCAGAACCCGGTATGGGCACTTTGAATTTCTGGTAATGTCCTTTGGGCTAACAAATGCCCCTGCAGCTTTCATGGATCTTATTAATCGAGTATACAAGCCTTTTCTTGACTCCTTTTTGATAGTTTCATTGACGATATTCTGGTATATTCACGCATTTGAGAGGACCATGCCGATCACCTCAGGGAAGTTCTACAGACTCGACGTCAGCACCAGTTGTATGCGAAGTTTTTGAATTGTGAATTTGGGCTTGAATCTGTCACATTCTTGGGTCATCTCGTCTCCAAAGAAGAAATTAAGGTTGATCCTCAGAATATTGCAGTTCTGAAGAATTGGCCTAGACCTACTACCCCAACAGAGATCCGCAGTTTCTTGGGCTTAGCTGGATATTACAGGAAGTTTGTGGAGGGGTTCTCTACTCTTGCCTCTCCGTTGACTAAATTGGCGCAGAAGGTGGTTAAGTTCCAATGGTCAGATGCTTGTGAAAGAAGCTTCCAAGAGTTGAAATCAAGATTGATTACGGCGCCGGTGTTGACCCTACCAAAGGATACGGATGGGTTTGTGGTATATTGTGATGCTTCGAGAATCGGACTTGGGTGTGTATTAATGCAACATGTCAAGGTAATAGCTTACACTTCTAGGCAACTCAAGAATCATGAGAAAACTATCCAACACATGACTTAGAGCTTGCGGCGGTGGTATTTGCATTGAAGATTTGGAGTCATTATTTGTATGGGGTCCATGTGGATATATTCACGGATCATAAAAGCCTTAAATATATTTTCAAACAGAAGGAATTGAATTTGAGGCAGAGAAGATGGCTTGAGTTACTCAAAGATTACGACATCGATATTCTATACCATCCGGGGAAGGCTAATGTTGTGGCGTATGCTCTTAGCCAGAAATCTATGAGTAATTTAGCTCACTTGGAGGAATATCAAAGTCCTTTAGCCAAGGAGGTACATCGGTTGGCTAGTTTGGGAGTTCGTCTTGCGGACTCTAGTGAAGGAGGGGTAATTGTGCAAAACAAGACTAAATCATCGCTGGTTGTGGAAGTCAAGGAGAAATAGTACAATGATCCATTGTTGGTACAATTGAAGGAGGGAAATCATAAACATAAGACTATGGCTTTTTCTATTGGAATGGATGATGGTACACTAAGGTACCAAGGGCGACTATGTGTTCCAAATGTGGATGGTCTCCGGGAAAGAATCAAGACCGAGGCTCACACTTTTAGATATTCCGTGCACCCAGGCTCTACAAAGATGTATCATGACCTTAAGGAAGTCTACTGGTGGAATTATATGAAGAAGAATGTAACGGACTTTTTGGCGAGATGTCCAAATTGTCAGCAAGTAAAGACCGAACATCAACGGTCAAGTGGGTTGGCACATAACATAGAAATTCCAATATGGAAGTGTAGATGATCAATATGGATTTTGTGGTAGGACTACCTCGCACTCCACGCGAGTTTGACTCGATTTGGGTGATTGTGGATCGACTCACAAAATCAGCACACTTCTTACCTGTTAAGGCTACCGACACAGCGAAGCAGTATGCTCAGTTGTATATCAAGAAAAAGTCAGGCTGCATGGCACTCCAGTTTCTATCATTTTTGATCGGGGGGAACAGTTCATAACTAATTTTTGGAAGAAATTTCAGCAAGGATTGGGTACTCAAGTAAATCTTAGTACAACTTTCCATCCACAAACTGACGGGCATGCAGAGCGGAGTATTCAGGCGTTTGAGGATATTTTGCGCGCTTATGCTCTTGACTTCAAGGGTAGCTGGGATGATCATTTGCCACTCGTAGAATTTGCCTACAACAACAATTATCATGCTAGCATTCAGATGGCACCGTTCGAGGCTTTATACGGTAGGAGATGTAGATCTCCCATCGGATGGTTCGAGATTGGGGAAGCAGAGTTGATAAGGCCACACCTCGCGCATCAGGCTATGGAGAAAGTTAAGATCATTAAGGAGCGGTTGAAAACTACCTGATAAATGGAGATTTTGACTGCTCATTAGCGCTTTTTAACTTTTATTTTAGTCTAAAAGCATTGAATTGTGCTCCCGAAACTGATGAAATTGTGCAAAATTTCAGGAAAGATGGAAGTAGATCTCCCGAGATGAAATCCGACTCAAAAAAGAGTATACCGAAGCACAAGGCAATAAAAGGCACATAAGCATAAATGTGTGGTCCGCAAAAGAAATTGCGGACCGCAGAATTCCATCTGTGGTCGCAAACCAAGAGGAAGAATTTAGCAGACATTTGTGTAAAGTGCGGACCACACATGAATTGTGCGGCTGCAAATCTGGGCTAATAGTCGGAGATCAGAGAGTATGCAAAAAGGCCTAGTCCATGAGCCTCTATGAATTGCGGACCGCAGAAGAATTGTGTGGCCGCAGAAGGATGCCTTGTGGCCGCAGTACTAATTGTGCGGACCACAGAAGAAGTGCCTTGCGGCCACAGTCCAGAAGTGTGCGACCGCAAAAGATTGCCTCGCGGCCGCAGAACTCCAGTTCCTGCCAGATGAAGAAATCTGCGGACCGCAAATGGAATTGTGCGGCCGCAGAACCTCCCAAGGGGCATTTTTGTTCGAGATTTTCATCCCTGTATAAATAGACGAGTTTCACAAATTAGGTCAAGTTTTGAACATCTGAAGTTGTTGTAGCTGTTTTTCTTTACTACTTTAGGAAGTTTTGCATTATTTTGGTATTTTAACATTAGATTTCTTTATTTTAATCTTCCAATATGAGTTCAACTAGTTTTTCTTCTCTATTTTCTATAATTTTTATTATTAGTAGCTAGACTTTTACTAGGTTGTGACCCAACCTGGTGCGTAAACCTTATGGGTGATTAATTTAGTGTTTGTTGATGATTGGGTGTTTATTATTTAGCTTAGTTCATGCTTCAATTGTAAAATTGATGGTTCCTAATATTGATTCATGCCTATTTGACTTAGTCTCTACTTGAGAAAGAGGGACCTAGTCTAGGATAACTTAGCTAACAAGAAATTGGGTCAATTGAGAGATTGATTAACCCAGTTAAAGGATTCAACCTAGAGATAGTAATAACCCGACTTGAGCTCTTATCAACTGTTTTGGTAGATACCCATTTGGTCTTGAGAAAGCCAAATTGGGTAATACCACTCTTTGACCGAGAGGTATTGAGTGTAACGTAGAGTTGTGAGCTATTTTACACCCCAATCAACTACATAAGCATTAACGTCTTTACCCCATTAGACAAATACCTAGGTTATGGTCATAGCCCTAGGCCTTTAATCCAATTATAAAAACCTCAAAAACAATTAGCTCTAGTCTCCTGTCTTTATTTTGAAATCATTAGATTAACATTAGAAATAGGAACAAAAAATCTTGTTGTAGAAGTGCAATCTAGATAGTCCATCTGCTTACTTCGAATATATGCCCCTAGCTCCCATCATAATTCCCAGTGGATTCGACCTCGACTCCTAGTTGGGTATTTATTATTGCATATGACCGTTACATATCTCTATTGAGGTATGCATTTGGACGTGCAGGGATTTGGAGTTCCAAGAGGATGACTGGGTATTCTTGAAGGTTTCCCCCATGAAGGGGGTAATGCAGTTTGGTAAGAAAGGGAAATTGAGTCCGAGGTATGTTGGACCGTACATAATCATTCAGAGGGTTGGTCAGGTGGCTTACAGGCTAGAACTACCTCCAGAGATGTCTTTAGTGCACCCGGTGTTTCATGTATCCATGTTGAAGAAGTTGGTTGGAGATTCGTCGCTTATTGTTCCAGTTGAGACTATTGAGGTTAATGAGGAATTGACTTATGATGATAGGCAAGTCTGTAAGCTGAGAAATAAAGAAGTTGCCTCCGTGAAAGTACAACGGCGAAATCAACAGGTTGAAGGGGCCACCTGGGAGGCCGAGGAAGAGATGAAGAAGAATTACCCTCATTTGTTTGAATAGATATGTAATCGATTTTATGAAATTGTTCCTTATGAATTATGTATCATTTTTACAGTTTATGCTAAGGGTCTTCCGTTCTGATAATATATTGCTCATGAGGTCACGGTTGGTGCTAATTCCATGTCTTATTGCATCGTTGGGTTATGTACATGTTGTTGGTATTGGTTCTGGGATCCTCTGACAGGTGGATAGGTCCAGTTACAAGGAAAAATCTGGCAAAATTTTTAAAGAATTCAGGGAGTTAGTCAAAATTTGAAATTGTTGGTGTGATATAGCAGCTAAGTCACATTGGATGCTAACGGTGAATTTTGACCCTCATTCGAGGACGAATGATCTTAAGCAGGGGAGGCTGTAAGGCCCTGAAGTTTACCTAAAACCTAGGGTTTCGTGGTGCTGAGGTAGACATATGTTTTGATAATTGTAGCCGCGGTACGGACTTTTTGGGTTGAGCAGTGTGTTGGGGAGTTGAAGAAAATTTTGGCAGAGTAGGGCATTTCTGCGGTCCAATATGCGAACGCAGATTTGCCGCAGAGTGAAGCATAGAACTGGGCAAACTTTGGGTGATATTTTACGGCTGATTTCGTGACCGCATAATCACTTCGCGGGCCGCACAATCCATCGCAGATCCACAATAAAAATTTTCGGAGGAATGCGACCGCAGAATTGGTCTGCGGACCACAGACCTTTCGCAGAATGAAGCAGAAATGCCCAGTTCCGGAGGGCCATTATGTGGCCCACTATGCGGACCGCATGAGTGTTATGCGGTCACATATGCGACCGCAGATCTATATCGAGGCTTCATTTTTCTGTTTTTATAAACCCGACCCCATTCTTATAAAACAATCTTAGGGATCATTTTAAAAGGTTCAAACTTATATTTTAGAGAGAGGAAGGTGGTCTAGAGTGAGAAAAGGAATTTCTAAGTCATTGGTTCATCAATATTTGCTTAAGCCTTGAAGATTTCACAAGGGTAACTCCCAAGGTCTTCAACCAAAAGGTAAGGTTCTAGCCCTAGAGTTCAATTTTGAGATGTAACTGAAAATAGGTAATAAGTCAAGCAATTCTTAGGTGTGGGAGTTGTTCGTTATGCATGCATGTACTATCAAATATTGTGAGAAGATTGTTGAGCTCAATTGGGTAGACTTTGGGTAGTGAAATGAAGGAATCCATCAAGGAGGACCTTGAAATCATAATGGCCACCTAGTGTTCGATAAAATGCTCAAATGAGCTGGAGCCATGAACTCCTTCCTAATTTTAGTTCAATTTTGTTATATTTCTAAATAGATCAAAGTTGCTAGGATTCCGGAACTTTGTAGTGGATTAAGGGAAGCTCAAAGCGAGATATGTTGGCTAAACCTCTCTCTTAGAATTAAATCTCACGATGTTCGTGTAAGTTCTGAGTTGTTCATTATATACTTGCTATTCCGAATAAGTTTGGTGTCGAAAGGTATGTGTATATATATATATATATATATGTGTGTGTGTGTGTGTGTGTGTGTGTGTGTGTGTGTGTACAATTACAATGCACAATAAAGTGTAGTTTAGTATTATGTAATTGACTTTTTAGTAACAACAATATTATTAATATTCGGTTTGAGAAATTCTTTTGGTGTTTCTAAATATTATTGGTTGCTTTTAATATTGGTATTCAATTGATGTGAATATACAATCATTAAATTTAAAGAATCCGGTTCCTACTGGAAATATATACAATTTTTGTCATTATATAGTTTTTGAGAAGATAGGTTTTAGTGGCGATATTATTTTGTCACAAAATATTAGTAATTGTTGCAATATTAAATTTGTCACGTACTGTTGGTTTCTTTCTTTTGCAGCGACTTTAGTCGCTACAGAAAGTTATTGTGTCTTTCATGATTTATTATATTGTAGCACACGAGTCGCTACTAACAGTTATTTATAGTGGCGACATTAAATTGCCACTGCAAAATGTTTTGGCAGCGGTAGTAATCGCCACTAAAGATGAATAGCAGTGGCGACCAAGCTAATTTTTTATTCTTTTGGAACCATTTTTGTAGCGAGATTTCTCACCTTTTGTGGCAACTATGTCGCCACAAATGTACGCTTTTAGCGGCGACTTTGGTTGTCGCCACAAAATACTTTTCAGTTTAGGTTTTGCTTGTAGCAACACAAATGTCGCCACTGATAACATATAGCAGCGTCTTTTAGTGATTTTGTAGCGACTTTGGTCGCCGCAACAAGGCTGATTTCCTGTAGTGAATGGTGTAATTTGAATATTTTTACTAAGCCTATTGGTTAATTCACCTCAAAATTAATGTTTGACCCGTATTTCCATGCTATTATTCTTAGAGATTTTTTCTTTCCTATACCATATGAAACTTTATTACCAAATATGTGCATAGTTTCTAATTTACCTGCCATGTCCACACTTTTTCTACAATTATTATACCATTCATTAAATACTAATTATTAGTAGCTGAATCTTCCTAATTAGGCGCGCTAAAATTCAGGAATAGAAGATTTAGCGACCTTCACATCAAATTTGAAACGGAAATCCTTTATCTTCAATTTAAAATCAAATTACATAGACTCTTTTCTGCAAAAACTCTGTTCTTCGATAATTTCCCTTAAGCCACAAATCAAAAGCTCAGTTCGTCGAAATCAGAAGCTCAATTTCAAATTGTAGAAATCAGTTCTGCAAAAGCTCAGTTCGTCGACTTTTTTCCTCAATCCACTAATCAAAAAAGCAACAAAATATTCAACAAATTCAAGTCAAATTATAGAAATCAATTCTGCCGATTCTATGTTCTTCGTCTTCTTTTCTTAATCCAAAAAATCAAAAAAGCGACAAAATATTGAACAGTACCTCAGCAACGACACACAATCATGTCCACAATCCCAATCATGCTACATTTTAATGGGAATTGGGATAGCTATGGCAGATTTAGAGATTTTCAAGTTGATGGCATTGTGCTCAATGAGGATGCAAGTTACACTATGTTGATTTCTACAATTGCAGAGCAATTAATGATTGATACTTCGAAAAAAATTGTAGAAATCAAATACATTGTGAATGAGAATTGTCCTCCAATGGAGATTAGGAAGAATATAGGGGTTCGTGTGTATATGGAGACAAAAAAGGAGAATAAAAACTTAGGATCGTATCCGTTACTTATAAGTGTACGAGATTTCAATATGGAATTGACTATTACAAATGAGAACACAAGTGTAGGTTTGTTATGTTTCAAATTCTATGGAAGTCTGATTTTACGGTAATATCTATAAAATTCCTACATTTATCTACAAATAAACTACACATCAGTTTTAGGATGTATAAAGCAATATTGTTTTCATGCTTATCAACAAAATTACTACATTTATACTACAATTAAACAACAATCCATGTTGAAAAAATATTGACTACAAAATTTTCTCTTCATCTACAATTTATGTACAAAGATTCTACTAAATTGTAATGACACTGTCTATCTTTATTTTCGTGCAGGTTCGTCTGGGAAAATACAATTACTTGATATGCCAGCCTCTCCCGTCATAGAGCAATATCAAAGTGAAATAATAACTGAAGGTACACAAAGTGTTATCGAAGAAGGACAAGTGTATCAAGACAAGCAAACAATTGCAACTGCAATGAGGCACTATTCTGTCATGCACAAGTTCCAATTCAGGGTTAAAAGATCTAGCCACAGAAGGTATGAAGATATTAATGGTGAAAAGATCATTATAAACAGTATTTTCCTTGTGATATGTAGATGAAAAGTAGTTATATTGTATAGTGTTTTACTTTATGTTAAAACAGTCCTTTTGTTACATCTACATTGATAACCTGTATTATAAATGTATTTTTTTGTAGCTACTGGCTTATATGCGTTGCAGAAAACTGTAATTGGTACTTCAAGGCAACATCAGTTAATGATTCTGCAATGTTCAAGATCAGGAGTTTCAACCGACAACACACATGCACCTTAATAGACGATACATTCATACAGCGCAAACGTACTGCAGTTGTAGTTGGTAGCATGGTCATGCCAAAACATTGTGATCCTAAGACAGTTTACACACCAAAGGACATACAAACTGACATGTTGTCCCAACACGGAGTGAACCTAAGCTACATGCAAGCATGGAGAGCAAAGGAAAAGGCTTTACAGTTATTGAGAGGTCATCCGGCTGACTCCTACAACAAATTACCAAAATATTTTTATATTCTTGAGAAGACGTATCCTGGTTCAGTTGTTAAATTGAAGAAGACAACAGATGAATGCTTCTTATATGCATTTGTTGCTCTTTGTACATCAATAAGTGGTTGGGAATATTGTAGACCAGTAGTAGTGGTTGATGGGACATTCTTAAAGACAGCCTACAGGGGGATTATGCTGACAGCAAGCACAATGGATGCAGCAGGTAAAATTGTAGTTATTTTGTAGTTATTTTGTAGGCAATTTATAAATTGTAGATACATTGTAGATACTTTGTAGATATATTATAGTTTATATGTATTTGTGTTTTTATATGCATTTTCAAAGCTGCCAGTTAATTATTTTTTTACTAATAATGTAGGTACAATATTGCCTTTGGCGTATGCTGTGGTTGATTCGGAAAACGACGCATCGTGGAAGTGGTTTTTTGAGCAATTCAAGCAAGCATATGGTGAAAGAACTTTAATGTGTGTTGTTTCAGATAGGAATGAGAGTATCCTGAAGGCAACATCAATTGTCTATCCGGGCGTGCCACACTACTCTTGCGTGTGGCATATTTGGACAAATATAAGGGCAAAGTTCAAGAAGGGTCATCTACAATTAAATGAATTGTACTTTGCTACAGCAGGGTCATACACTATGGATGAATTTAATGAAAGGATGTCGAAGATTGAAGAGATAGANGAAAGTTTGCCTCTCACTCACTTCAAGCAATCTCCGGAATGTCTTGCTAATAACCCTGCGCTTCATGTCATGGCTATTAGCTGCCATGTTTGGCACTTCAAGAAGCATTGCACATGTCAGATGGACGGCCTCAAGAAGCTCAAGATTTATATGCATATGATATGGCATCTGACGCCTCCTCTCCATCCGCTCCTAAAAGTGTCCAACATGCATAGTGTAGAAGCTTTGGTAAGAATCATAATGATGAAATTTCACAAAAAAAAACTACTCTGATAAATGAGTCAGTTGAAGGTGCAATCCGATATAAAATATATGATTATTTCAGTTACTCTGAATTTGTTCGGACGAATTTGGCTAACTAATTTTCCATGTGTAAATGTTCAATCAAGTGGTTAGTCCCTACTTTGGAAGTCAAGTCAACTTTATACACTGCTAAAACTGATGGAATTAATTTAAAGTTCTGTGAAGTTCTTCAAATTTTACTATCACTGGTTTACTCCCGAGCATTCTCCAAAAGAACAAGTTCTGCTAGTTATGAAAACCATGAGGGAAACTTTTAGATACCCACTGAACTCATTAAGTAAACCAACAAATAAACTGATTTTTCTTATCGAGTTTCAACTAGAACCCACTTTCTTGTTGAGCTGCGCCACACAAACACTCTGAAACATACTAGCTACCACAATTATGAAGTACAATAAAGCAGCTAATCCCAAAACATAACAATGGAGGAACATAAGGGCACGTAATAAGAATAAATTTCTTGCATAAAAGAAAAAGAATGAAATTTTTCAGCAAAGAAACCTGTTCTGGGGTCTTCTCATGATATCGACTTTGGGAGACACCTTGTGCGAGTAACTCCTTCACCCTGCCGGCAGAATAGAGTTCGGCCAAGCAGCCATGTGCTTCTGCAACAAGTGCCGCCCTGAATGCACAGAGACCGAGCTGAGCCATGGCTCTGTTGAAAAGTATCTGAGTTGAAATGTCCATGTGCTGGATATTATCTTGCAAGTGACTCATCAATAACAAGTCACGGGATGTTGAAAACTCATCCAAGATAGCATGGTGGTATATATCACAGAGCATTGCACGAGCCTTGGTTCTTTCATCTCCATATTTATATATGAGAGAAACGAGACTGTCCATCAATGTCCTGCTATTTTCTTCAAAAGCAGGTTTCCTGGCCACAAGCTCTGGAGTTGCAACAAATGCAGTTGGACCTCTACTCTCCTCAACCACTTTGTTTTCTTCTCCAGACTCTGCCTCTCCTTCTCCTTCCGTAAGCTCAGCCAACTTCCTCATAGCATCATACACTCCTTGTGGTTTATAATAAACGAATTCAACCTGTTTGAGAGCTACTTTCGCAGCACCCCTGTAGTCTCCTGCCCGTTCTAAATAATGTTGGACATTTTGAGCAAGAACCAAAAATAACGGCTCATCCCTCAGCCTCTCAACATACTCACGGGTATGTGGATCAATTACCTGCAAGCTCTTGAAAAACTCTACATCTATCCTTTCAACAAAGGCAACCAAGTTTCCCCAGATCCTTATCGTCCCCGAGTGGTCTGCTCCTTTCTGGGTCTCATTTTCATCCGGCTCCACCATGTCATCAACCACAATGTTTGGGTATTGGGTCAAAACATCGAGGATGGTAAGCATATTCTGCACACACTTTTTCCACACATTTATAGGCATGTGTCCACTGAGACTTGGATTAACGTCAAACTGGGCAGACACAACACTAAACAGAATTTCAAGCTTTTGTGCTGGAGTCTTGGCCACCTTGGTCAAGAAGGTGAGCTGTTCAACCAATTCAATCTTTCCAGTCCCCTTTCTACCCCTAGCGGCAACAATTTCCTTGAACTTCTTGTTGACTGTCTCCCACGTGATTTGACTTGGATCCTTGAACTGTTTATCCAAGAGTTTTTCTTTCTTGCTCAGCATCTTCTCCCACCCGGTACCGCTCTCGGCTGTCTCATCCCGACTTTCATCTTCGTCATCATCCTCATCAGACGCAGCTGCAATCTTTGTTGGGTCCTCCTCAAACTCCTCTTCATCATCCTCTTCTTCCTCTTCTGATTCTTCATCATCATCAGCCTCATCCTCACTCTCGGGAGGATTTTCCCTGTACTTGTTAATCAACTCCTCATACTGCTTGTTATTCTTTTTCAGTTTCTGTTTCATCGAATTCAAGGCTTTAGCATTACTACTACTCATCTTCTTCTTTGCCTCCTTATTGGCCAAGGCCTGACTCAAGAAATCCTCCAGCATCACTAGAGCTTTGATATAGAGATTTGGTGCTTTAACCGATTCTGTAATGCGCATGACTTTCTCCAGCTGCTTATTGATCTTATCAAAGCTCTCCTGCAAGCTGACCCAGTCATTAATCTTCATAGCATTCTTCATCTGATCAACGGTAGCAGACAATTCCTCAAAGCGCTTATCCTTTGCTGACCGGACAACTCGCTTCTGTCCATCTGATTCATCACTGTCGCTGTCACCAGCTGCAAGGTATCTTGACCCAGCCGCTGCAGCGGTAGTCTCAGCCGGCCCTTCATCATCCTCCTGCTCGAAATCACTCTCCTCTTCGTCCTCCGTTTCACTATCGCCCTGCAAATACCATAGTATGAATAAATTAAATAACACCTTCCCTAAACCCTTATACTTTATGCAGAATGAGCTATGCCCAACAGACTGCCATATACAAAAACAAATCACTCACTCACAGCACCTTAATTTTCTAGGCTCACTAAGCAATCCTTCTTAACAGTTTAAAATTATATTTCACATCTTACTGTTTACACAAACAAGTAAATTGATCTTCAGCAGAATAGCTGGTGAAAAGTGTGAACAAATACACATACTCGTGATTTCTATCCAAAGGTCACTTAAAATTTGAAATATTGGATTATGAAATTGCAATTCAAAACATCCAGATGCAAGTACAATGACATAAAAATATATTATGCCTCAATCAAAAGCTAGCTGGGGTTGGCAATATGAATCATCACTATCCATTTAGCTCTATTTAGATCTGATTCAATCTAATATTCGATAATGTAGAACTATCTATCACTAGAGTTCTCATAAATTAATGAAAAATTATATCTTTACCACTGTAAATTGGTGAATAGATTATTTTACTCATCCAAACACATAAAGAAAAAAACTAAATCTTTAATTGAGGTGAAAAAATCATTTACCTGAGTCCAAAAACGGGACGCCATACTTCTTCAAAAAGTTTCTTCGAGAAACGGAGATAGAATGAGCTGCAATTACTCAAAATAAAAAATAAAAAATTTAAGATTGAGAATAAATCAACAAATCAATTTGCCTCTTCAGCAGTTTTACAAACACCTATTTTGAAGAAGAAAAGATTCGAACCTGTAAGCTGGAACTGTGGTTTACAGAAAGCTTAGCGGAGAAAGAAAGAAGGGAATGGAATTTTACAGTAAAAACCCTAGAGAATGATAAGGCTTGGTCCGACTCGGCTTTTGGGCTTCTATGGTGTGGGAATATGAAGTCACTAATCTAACAAGGCCACGGCCCAATGTATTTCCTTTTGGGATTTTTACTTGGGAAATTTTCGTTCATATACCATATAGGAAACTATATTACCAAATATGTTCATAGTTTGCATATTACCCTTCATGCTAATAGTATGTCTACAAAATGTAGACCATGCATTAAATAAGGAATCGTTGTAGCTGTAGGCTTCCTTATTTAGGCTCTAAAATTGGGGGATTAAATATTCTTCTAGATCTTCCAAACGCAAATCACGCACATTAATCTTCTTCGTCAGTTTCGTTTCAAATTTAGTGTCTCTACATCAAACGCAATTATTCTTCTACAATTCAAAAACGAATTGATTATTATTCTACAATTAAAAAACGAATGGATTATTCTTCTACAATTCACAAATCAAAAACGACTAAATCTTCAACAGTTCTTCTACATCAAACGCAATTATGTCCAAATTTCAGTAATACAAAGCAAAGGAAAAGAGAGCAGCAATTCCATCATTGACAGCCATTAAAAAGCTTGAAAGCTTTAAATTCAAATTTGGATTTTCAAAAATCATTATTTGTTTGGATTGGGTGTTGTTGAAAATGATTGGGAATATGGTTTGGAGTTTATATCTCAATTTTGAGGGGTTTTGGTAAAGATTAGACTTGGTTTTGACTGAATTTCAGATTGAAACTCGAAGAAGAAGAAGAAGAAGAAGAAGAAGAAGAAGAAGAAGAAGACGTATATTGTAGAAATTGTAGAAAAATTGTAGATAAATTGAAGAAAAATTGTAGACTGATGTTTATTTATTTTTCTTTTATTCATTTACTTATTATATGAAAGTTGAACAACATTGTATAAAAATTATATTTAAGTGGATGATTTAGTACTGTTTTGGACAAAAATATGTATCAAAAATGTGATAGATTTCAGGGGAAGCGTGTTGAGTCCAAATATGTACCCAGTTTGTAGATATTTTATAGATAAATTGTAGATTATTTGTATTCTGATTGTAGATGCTTTATTTTCTGTTTTCACAAATAAAAAATGACTAAAACTTCTACAAATCTTCTGAAAAAACACAATTATGTTAAAAATCCCAATTATGCTACAATTAAATGGGAATTGGGATATTAAAATTCAATGTATCCAGTTTGTAGATATTTTGTAGATAAATTGTAGATTATTTGTATTCTGATTGTAGATGCTTTATTTTCTGTTTTCACAAATCAAAAATGACTAAAACTTCTACAAATCTTCTGCAAAAAGCGCAATTATGTCGAAAATCTCAATTGTGCTACAATTGAATGGGAATTGGGATATTAAAATTCAATATTTTGTAGATATTTTATCGATAAATTGTAGATTATTTGTATTCTGATTGTAGATGCTTTGTTTTCTGTTTTTATAAATCAAAAACGACTAAAACTTCTACAAATCTTCTGCAAAAAACGCAATTATGTCAAAAATCCCGATTATGCTACAATTCTGTGATTCTCCTATATGCTCTTGTTACTCCTTACGAAACTGCTATGCTAAATATGGAATCCAAAAAAACATGATGAAGGGACAGATCTTCTTAAGAAATTTTGTAGATAATTTGTAGAAACATTGAAGTGCTGTACTTTCATATTAATTTTTCAAATGATATGTAGTTTTGTTGTAGATTAAATGTAGAAAATAAGCCATTGTGAGTCTTATTTGACTCATTCTTCACATTCAACCTATTCTACAAATTCACGCCTCTTTAAATACAATACAACCATACTTTCTTGAATTTAAAGTTTTAGCAATATATATAACTTAAAAAACATCTTCTCCTTTGCACAAGTTAGCTCCAAAACAAACGAAGTGGAATAACAAGCTCCCATCAAAATTTTTAACACAAAAACACAAAGCTCAAAAATAAATAAACAACAGTCTACAATTTTTCTACAATTTCTGCAATATACGTCTTCTTCTTCTTCTTCTTCTTCGAATTTCAATCTGAAATTCAGCCAAAACCAAGTCTAATCTTCACCAAAACCCCTCAAAATTGAGATATAAACTCCAAACCATATTTTCAATTAATTTACAACAACACCCAATCCAAACAAATAATAATTTTTGAAAACCCAAATTTAAATTCAAAGCTTCAAAGCTTTTTAATGGCTGTCAATGGTGGAATTGCTGCTCTCTTTTCCTTTCCTCTTATATTACAGAAGGAACCCGAAATCATAACCATCAAAAGTTATTGCTGTGTATGAAACTTTGAAGATTTGACTTCAATTTTGACTGGTTGTAGAAGAAAAAACCTTGATTTTGGACGTTAATGGTAGAGGGTTTCAATTGTTTTTCTGGATTTAGCAGAGGGTTTCAATTGTTTTTCTGGTTTTTCTGGTTTCTGGGTGTGTGGTGATACGTGGGTAAGGATGTGGGGTTGGGAGAGAGAAACGCGGGGGGATGGAAATTTGGAGGAATATACGGTACCATAAATTTAGGAGTGATATAAGGTACAATTAATGTACAGTTAAAACACCTTATGTTATAGAATTGATAATTAGGTATACTAAATGTAATTATATCAAACCTTAAATATTGAGGGTAATATAGTTTCCTATATGGCATAGGAATGTAAAAATTCTTTTTTACTTCCTATACTATATAGGAAACTTTATTACCATCCCTAATCAAGCTTTAACTTAATTATATGGGCATATACAATTTACCAATTATATACAATTAGTATTAATAAATATCCCTTTATATTATGAATTGAATAGGAATTTATTTATTTCCCATCACTGCATTCTCTCTTTCCGTCTCTTTTTATCTCTCGCCGTCTCTCTCTCTCTCTTTCTCTCTATCCGTCTCTCTCTCTATCCTTATTCGTTATTTCCCCAATTTTCTTCCTTCATTTTTCTCTGATTTTTATCCTCTCTTTTTTCAGCAATTTCCTTTCATGTTTCACAATTGGTATTCGAATTGAAATTGTCAATCAATAAATTTTGAAGGTGTTTGATTCTCCACCATTGACAGCCATTAAAAAGCTTCAAAGCTATGAATTCGAATTTGGATTTTAAAAAATTATTGTTTGTTTGGATTGGATGTTGTTGCAAACAATTGGGAATATTCTTTGGAGTTTATATCTCAATTTTGAGGGTGTTTGGTGAAGATTAGACTTGATTTTGGCCGAATTTCAGATTGAAACTCAAAGAAGAAAAAGAAGAAGAACACATGACATACAGTATATCTACAAAATTGTATTAAAGTTGTATGTAAATTGTATTTAAGTTATATTATGTTGTAATTATATATTTTTTTATTTGAATGTTGTATGAAAGTAGAAAAATAGTTGTATAATGTATGAATCGTTGTATAAAATTTGTATTTAAGTTATAAATAATATCTTCTTACATAAAGTTGTAGATATGTATCAAAATTATTTTAAGAGAGGGAGTTTTAATTGCAATTTTAGAGAGGAAGAAGGACACGCCACTTACAAAATATATACAAATCATATACAAAATACAGACAAAAGACATATTGTATAAAATTTGTATGAAAGTTATATTTAAGCTGTATGAAGTTGTACTTGTATTTACCTGGGAAAGAATGATGTACGAAAGTTGTAGATAAGTTTTAAATAAATTGTATACTATATAATTACTTGTATGAAATTTATTTTTAGTTTATAGTATATTATTGTATAATTGTCACGACCCAACCCCGATTGTGATGGCGCCCAACACACTGCTAGGCAAGCCCGACCATTTAGACAACCTTGACCGATTAATCACAGAGGATAAATAAATATTCACAACTAAAATACCAAATAAAATGCGGAATTTCTGAAATAATTTCTAGCATTCGAAAACCCAAAATAAAAATACTAATCAGCCCACAGAATCTGGTGTCACGAACATGAGCCTCTAATACAGAATATTCATCTATCACAAGTCTGTCTAGGAAAAATGCGAATAAAAGGATAAAGATAGATGGGAGAGATCAAGGCTGCGAACGCCATGCAGCTACCTCGATACTCCCGGATACTGCTGCTCAGCTAAACAAATCCTCACTCACCCTGTGGTGTACCTGGATCTGCACACAAGGTGCAGGGAGTATTGTGAGTACTTCCAACCCAGAAAGTAATAAATATAAATAAAGTCTGAGGATAAGAAATCCCAAATAAACACAAGGTAAAGCTATAAACACAGCAAAACAGCGAAGACAATTTTTAATAATACTACAACAGATAAAGAGTAAATGACAATTAAAATATGCAATGCAACACATAAATCGGTACTCTCCAGTACCCCGCTATGGCGTGCAGCCTGCTTCCATTTATTTAACGTCGACGGCGCTCACTGGGGTGTGCAGACTCCGGGAGGGGCCCCTTACGGCCCAAGCGCAATAATAAGCCATATCATGGCATCAAACAGTCCCTCGGCCTCATATCAATATCAGTATCATACCACTGCGGCGTGTAGTGCGATCCCATACTCAGTCCAAAATCACATAAGCCTTTCGGCACAGTAATATAAAAATATTCAGCCCAAACTTCATTTAAAAATATTACTTTAGTTTCTACTTTTAGAAAAATGGCTGAGTTTACAAAACAGTGTTAAATACCAGGACTGAGTTCAATATCTAGAAATATAGTAAGAAACCAGTAAAAATAATCCCTGAAGGATTCAAGTAGTTGGCACAAAGCCCAATTATGACAATTAATCTATTTTTATAAGGATATCACAAAATTACAATCAATTAGGTAGTAATTTTATTAAGCGGGACGGACCAAGTCACAATCCCCGACGGTGCTTTACCCCACGCCCGTTATCCGGCGTGCAAGTCACCTCACATAGCACTACATTGTGCAAATTCGGGGTTTCAAACCCTCAACACAGCATTTACATTTATTACTAACCTCAAGCTGGCCAAAGTCCTAGCTTGCTATGCCCTTGCCTTTCGAATTAACCTCCTCGTGCGTCGAATCTGACCAAAACCA